TGATCGCCAGAAGGCTGACCATCAGGCGATGTAGCACTTGTCAAAGCAAGTAGAAAAGCGCTAGTTGACTATTTTTAACAAAATATTCAAGCAAGAGTTGCTAGATGACTATTTTTTAACAAATAATTCAAGCCTTTTTAAGTATTCAAGCAAGAAGCTATCGAAAACACACTCATTTTCCTCATAGCCGACTAATACCTGGAAAACTTCCTCGCACTTAATACGGAGAACAAAAATCTAAAAAACTTAGTAAGTTGAAAAGCGTAGGACCTTTGGCGCATCCGGTTCGATAAGCTCACACTGTATTGTCAAAGAGCTTAATTTTCCGTTGAAAAGCGAAGGACGTTGAATTCCGGATACCCGATATCCTGGCTTACAAACCATCGAAACGTCGATCTGCTGATCAACAGCACCGCTGACGCAGTTCAGCGTAATGATGCTGGAAGTGATGATGGCATGGAAGAAGAGCGCTGACCAGTGCCGACTGCGCATCATCTCACTCCACCACGGACATCTTTATTCTTGATCCAGCCAGGTGGTATTATCCATCGTACTCCCGGACGGCGCAGCAAATCCCCCCGTACTCGATCATTTCTCAACTCGTTAGTTTTCTTGCTTTTGAACAGCTGTCACTAAACACATTCGCTCCCTTTTCATACTCCATTCGAATTTTGCCTCAAGCGTTGAAAAAATTGGGACAGTTTGCAGTTGCTGTCATAGGCGAAGCCCTTTTTCGAAAATTATTCTGGATCGGCATGGAGTCGAACCACTTTCCTTCACATCCGGACGCAATGTTTTACCACTACACCATCGGTCCAAGTGCTCCATGTTCAGCCTGGCAACACATTTACTGTGCATCTGCATTTCAAAGCAAGATATACCTTCCTTTTCTTTTTCTTTGTGGCAGCTTCTTCACTGGCTTTTTGTAGGTTTTCTGCGACGATTGCAGTAAGATATTGCGGCAACTCTGACCTTTGTGACGATTTGAAATTTTGATTCAGCTTTGGGTAAAAGAAAGGTCTACTGTGCCAGCAGATTCCTGAAATACAAAAAAGGCAATGTCTCTGGAACAAATAATGCATTTTTTTACAGAAATTACAGTTTATGGTGAAAA